AAATTATTATTTATCAATTTTTTAATTTTGTTTCTGTTTTTTTAATAAGGCGAAAATATCATCAAAAATTGACATACACTAGATTGTTACATTTAATTTTTTTTTCTTTGTTTACACTAAATAGAATTTAAATTTTTTTATTTCCTCTTATAATATATATAAATATTTTTTGTTTGTATATAATAATGGTTATTTGCTGATACAATTTTGTATACATAATATGAATATATTATTCAATAGTAAGTAGTTACCACATAGTAAATTAAAGTTCAATTTCATTTCATAAAAAAGCTTCAAATTTTTAATAATTTTTCTTTTAAATTTCATTTTAATTCATTTCATGTTTTAAAATATATTCAGTTTTACTCCATTACTAATTATAATTGTTATTCTAATCTAGCTTTTTCCATGTAAACTTTATATAATAGTTTAAATATTAGTTAAAAGGTAAATATTATTTTTTTTTATTACTAAACTAAAGCTCGAGTAGTAAATAAAAAATAATTAAGTTGAATGCAACGAAAAAACATAAAAATTTGTTTTTGAATTTAAACTTTTTTATTATAAAAAATATATAAAAAAACATAAATATTTCATAGACAACCAATAAAAATGCACATGATATAATATGTAATTACGCAGAAAGTGATTAAATATTTTACTGATTTGGATTGGATTTCACAGAAAACTGAGCGAATTTAATTATAAATATAAAACATATTTAATAAAAATATAAGTCACGAAGAATTTAGTTGAAAATTGCAATTATATAATTACACCAATATTTCCCCAATATATAATTTATTTGACGTTTTCAGAATTAAAATGAGGAAGTAGTTTTAAAATTTGATTTTATAAATTAAAATATAATAATAAAATAGGAATAAATAAGATATATACGCGTTATGAAGAATACTTTAATTTCCCTGTATAATATTATTGCGTATACGTAAGGCAAAAAAAAACATTTTTTGAAGATTAAAAATAATACAAATCTTTGGCAGCGTCTAGATAACTTTAAAATAATAGTAATTATATTTTATTTTATTTCCAACCATAACCAGAGAACAACTTTTTTAATCACTTTAGCTAAATTTTTTTCAATAATTTATAATAAAAAAAAATATATATATTCATTAAAATATCTTTTTTTAAGGCAAAAAAAATGTACACAATATAAATAATATTCATTTACTTAATGGTATTTACTTAACAGAAAACTTTTATAAATTTTAAAATCACATAAAAACTACTTGTAAATATAAAGTACTCATACAATATATAAAAATATTTAGTACAAATTATTATTGAACAAAAATTAAATTGCAAAGTATTAATTATAATAATGATAACAGTAAAATATTTATATAAATTTGTTTCAAGTTTTCTTAAAGAAATACATCTTATATTTAAATGTTGTATAATTAAAAAGTTAATTAAATAATTTCAATTTGTAAAATATTTAAAATTTTTATATATAATATATGGTTACATTTAATGTATAAATAAAATAATATTTTGGCTTAAGATTACGACAATAAAATAATCAAAAAAAAGTTTTGTTTTTTTTTTTGATAAAAGGTGGAAAACGTTAACAATAATAATTAATATTTTTGTTTAAAAATATATTTAAGCGCATTTAATTGAATTTACAATAGTGGCGAGATAAATGTTGTGCTTCATGAGTAATTTAAAATAAAAAACAAAACAAATTTTTATAAGAAAAGAAATTGTTATATAATTATATTTTTATATAAAAAAATGTTTTAGAATTGACTAGTTTAAATTTTAAATAAAATTAAAACAAACTAAAAATTATAAATTATTTTAAAAGTTTTAGCTTGTATATGGCCGAGGAAAATGTGTTTTTGTTAAGTAATATTTTTATAAATTAAATACTTTAATAGAGTTTATTTATTAAAACAACAAAAAGTTATAGTTAAATGCCAAATTCAAAGAAATAATATTATTAAATTTTAAAATTTCTACAAAAATTTAGTCACGTTTTATGAGGATAAAAATTTATAAATCATTAATTCAATTAAATTTATTTATGTTTTAATTTAAACAATTTATTTAAAATTATCTTCGCTATTCGTTTAACTTTCTGTTTTTCATTTTTATATTTTATTTATCAAATAAAAGCTACAAAAAAAATTATTCTTAATTTTTATATAAATAATTTTTATATATAATTAAACTTAATAAAATATTTTCGAATAAAAAGTCTCTATGAAGAATTTAGTATTTTTCTTTTTTTTTTTTTAATTTTATTTTTTTTTGGATTCATAATAAACCGGAGCACCAATTTTTTAATCGCCACTTTAAATTAGTGCATGTTTAATAAATTCTTAAGATACCAAATCAAAATTAAATTTATATATATACAAATTTTAATATATATATATATATTCAAAAAATTTTTATAATTTAAATAAAACAATAATATCATTTTTCGTTGAAACGAAGATAAACAAGTTTAAATAAATTAAAACGTATGTTTAAAAAAACAATTGTCTTTTCACTTTTAACAAATATTAAAATAAAAAATTTATATAAAAAACTAATTCATAAATTTTTAATATAAACTAAACAATAACAAATTTACGTTTTATATAATTATATTTATATATATATATATATTTACATATATATATATACTTATATTTATATATATTTACATTATATATATATATTTTATATATATATATTTATATATATATATATTTATATATATATATATTTATACATATATATATATATATTTATATATATATATTTCTTTTTTGTATATATGCATAATTTTATAAAGGAAACCTGAAGTAATTTCTATAAATTTGTTTCTATTTTTGTTTAACAAACAAAACACAGCTTAAGTAAAAATTACAATATATTATATATAATTAAAATTTAAATAAAATTAAATAAAAGCGTGTGGAATTACATTTGTTTTTGCATTTTTAAATAACAAATATTAAAATTTTGATTTGCTTCAAAACAAAGTTTAAGACGATTTACTTAAGATATAATCAAAATAGAATTAAATATATAAAAAGCGATATATTTTGTATAACTAGCAATAATTGTTTAATTCAATATGATTTCAATTATATATTTACTAAATAATATATTCTTAATTTTAATAAATTTATATCATAGCTTTTCTTTTCAGTTTTTATTATATATTATTGTATATATTATATGGTATTAAATTTGTTTTTATTATTTTTTCCTTTATTATTATACGATAAAAATGTATTATTATGCATGTAAAAGTTTGTGCGTAAAGTAAGGTTAATTGTTTATATAAAATATTTAAATAAAAATTATTAATAGGTGTGATTTTTTTTCGATTAAAAATCTATAGAATAAAACTATTTAATAAATAAATTATTTATTTATGAATTTCAAAGAAGTAAAAATATTTAAATATGTTGTTAAATGGACAAAATAATTTTGTAAAAAAAATTAACTTTGAGAAAATTTTTAAACATATTTTGAATAAACCAAACTCCATATTTACACGCACAAATACATTAATACATCTTTACATATATAGAATCGCTCTTTAAAGTTTATATTTAAAAGTCTTTCCATTGTTTTGATGTATTATATTTGCAAATTTATCAATGCATTTAAATTGTTATTAATTTTACTTTAAATTTTGCTTTATTATAATATTTATCAACATTAAACATACAAAAATAACATTAAAACAATAGTTTAAAAAAATTTAGTAAATAAAATAATATTAAAATTAAAATACATTTAAAATGACAAGAAATATTTGAAACATGTAGGTTTAACTTTGCATTTCTTTAAAAAAAGTAAAAGAAAAAACAAATAATGAATATTTTTTAATAACTAAATATATATCTATATAAATGTTCTTATTTACTTGTATTTATAGAAAATAATAAAAAAAATATTTGATGTAATTATATATATATATGTAATTTGATGTTATATAAAAAAAATTATTTGTTTTCAATCTAAGTTTATACTTGTAATTAAATTAACAATTTAAAAGTAAAATGTCTTGGAAAACCAGCCTTAAACGGAAAAAAGGAATATAAATATATATTTTATAACTATTAATATTGATCTTTTTAGTGTAAAGTATAATATATAAATATAACAAAAAATATAAAATTAATATATATATATACATATATATAGGTATGAATATATATATTATATTTACTCACATTTTTAATAGGAAGATTTTTATATATTTTTTTTTATTTTTTTTTTGTATATAGATAAACAATAACAAAAAAGTATAAAGTAACAGTGTTTTTTTGTTTTTATAAAAACATGAAAAACAAAAATATTGCTTTAATTATTTTGTATGATTAAATTTTTTTTTTCTTAAAAAAATTGCAACATTAAAATGGCGTTTTTATTCTTTGTAATTGTTGTCGTTTTTTTTTTTTGTAAATTTTAAATTTTTCATTATGTATAATATATATATAAATATTTTTTGTAAAGGTAAATTTAAAAATTTGTAAGATAAAAGGAAAAAAATTGTTATAAGCAAGAAATAAAATTTACAAAGAGATCAACAAAAAATTTCTTTTGTTATATAAAAATGAATTTGAGATTTTTTTTTGTTAACATATAATGTATTGTTGTTTTGGTTCCTTTCTTTAAACTTCAATTATTGTTTTCTCATTTTTACGTTACTAGTTGATGATATAATTATGGAGTAGACTTAGGTTTGTTTGAAGAGTATTCAAAATCTCTTAAAATTTAAGGAATATATGTATAAAGCCAACATATTAATTGAACTTAAATTAATACATTTTACTTTGGTGACGCGTAAATTCGAAATTTATCGTTGATTTTTTAATTGTTCTCCGTTTTTTGTTGCTTGTTAAGCGTTATTATTACGTTGATTTGTTTTCAACAACGATGACATTAGTTGTTGTGCTGATGTTGATGTTGATGTTCCTGTTCCTGTAACGTTGCTATCTGTTTTTATATCTTGTTTATTCGTGTTTTTAATATCAATTTTGTTGATATTGCCTTTTGCGTATTGGCTGAGGCTTGGAAAATTGGTGTTATAACTGCTTTTATTGATGTTGTACTGCTTGTAGAATTTCATTTGAGCTTTAATTTGCAATCAGTGAACATAGAGTGTATTTAATACAAGAACATGGTGATTATTTTTTGCCAAGGTAACAACATAGCCTTCAGACGTTATCTTTAAACCACAACATCTTGAAACCTAACAGAAAAATAATTTCAATTTAATTCAGATTGTGGCTTAAATGGTTTATGAATTTATTATTTAAAATATTTGGTCGGGGTAAAGTATATATTTAAATATAACTATAAAAAAATTTTTAACAATGCTTAAGTAAACAAAATAAACAAATTAAAAGAGTTTGAATAGAAATGAAAAAACAACAAACATTTTAATTTGCAACACAATGACCTTTTAATTTTAGTTAAGATTTAAAATTTAAATGAACTAAAATTTTTGTTGTTGTCTTATCACTTCTATTCGAACTCTTCTAACTTTTAAATAGTTTCTTTTTGTTATAAAACGCATCATTCTCAGCAAGAAAAAATTAACATTATAAACATATAATTATTGTTATTGATTAAGTGTGGAAAAAATTGAAAAATGATTACTGAAAAATTTAATTACTGTTTAATAAAACATTGGTTTATTGCTTTTAATGGCGACAGAATTTCTTCTTCTGTCTAAGTAGCACTTAGGAACTGTTACCATAAACTTGTTAAACCAATCTACACAGTTGATGGAGCTAATTTTTGGAATATATATATTTCATAACTTTTAAGACTTAAACATGCCAAACTTTAGCTTTTCAATAGTAAATAAACAGACATTCCTTATTTTTTTCTTTTACCCAGCCGTTGGTAAATATAGTCAAGTAATTAGTAATCTTATTACTAATTAAGAATCTTAATACTTTATATTTTACAAAATAACTTACCTTGACATGAGGACACTCAAATTCAGATTGTAAAACACCATCACGTGAATAGCAAGCAACATGGAAGCGATTACCATGAGAATCACCAATCAATATATCGCCAGCATTTGAAATATCAATGCCGTTTGGAAAACAAGTAACTTTTTCGTTACCAATGCGATATTGAAAAGTGCCATCTTCTTGGAAAACAGCAACGCAATGACCTTTAAAGTCGCATACGTAAAAATCGTTGTCTAGAAATAAATAAAAAATAAAATTGCATATAACTAAACCATAAACATTCTAACGTAATTGTTTTTATTACCTCGAATAGCAATATCAGAAGGTTCCCGCATGTAATCACTGCAGTCGAACCAACGTACAAGTTCTCCTTCCTCAGATATAACAAAAACAGTTGGTGAAACACTGTCAACGGCAACAATATGACCTTTTGATGTGACTGCCAAACCAGCCACAATGTCAATATATCTGCAAATCAATATATTTTAACTGAACGTACAATTGAATAATTTAAAAGTAATACCTTATGGCAATTTTACGCATAAAATGTCCACATTTTGAAAAGATCTGCATGCGAGACCGCTCGTTACCACGATCGCAAACAACAAATTTACCATTTGTATGCATAACAGCAACTTTTCTAGGATACCATAATTGCCCTTCCTCTTTACCTGGGACACCAAAGTTGAATTTAAGTGCACCAGTTTTGTCAAACACTTCTATTCGATGATTATTGGTATCGGCTACAATAATTTCTTCATCAACACCAAGACAAAATCCATGCGGAGAATTAAATTGTCCGCGAGATGTACCCAAGGAACCAAATTTGCAACGTATCTGCATTGGTGTAGCCTTGTTACGACCAGTAACAATGTTGGTAGTGGAATTATTTCCAGCTCCAGCATGGAAATTAGTAATAGTCATATCTTCAACATTGGTGCCAATTGACGATAATGGTGGTAAACTGGGTGAGGTTGCAGGAGGTAAGCAGAAATCTGATAATAAACAATCAATACCTGGTGAGGGCCCACTCGATAAAAGCTGACTAGTTGTCAAATCAAAATCTACTTGTAAAATGCCAACAACAATAATAACAACAGTGATGGTGGAACATAGTGTTGTGTTGATGGCATGATTAAAGTTTTTGTGTAATATAGTAGTTAACAGTTAAGCGTTGGATAAAAGGTACGGTGTTTGAAGTTGGTTGTTGGAAAATTTTAGTAATAAAGATGTAAAGCAAAACATAAAAATAAATAATAGAAAAAAATACAAAATATTAATAAATACAAAATTATAAACTAATAATTAACTTATATTAAAATTATTTCTTCTTATTGTTTCTTCTATTGAAACAAGAAATAACATATATATGAAATCAACAAATTTGGAAATATAAAACTAAAGTTTAATTGGACATATAAAAATCAAACATAAAATTGGATTTAATACTATAACTTCTTGTTCATTGGATAAAAGTTAATACATATTATATAAATTGCTTTTTAGTTTGTGTAGTTAAATAAGAATTTTAAAAATATTTTGATATATGCATATGAAAAAATATAAATATATTATTAAACTTCAATTATGTATTACATTAAATTTGAATTGTTAAAAAAAATATTCTTTATTAACATACCAGTATTAGTCATTCCTAGTTTTGCTAGAGCTTGTAAGTTATTTAGTGCACGCTGATCACCAGATAAAATGTCTGCTAAAGTTATCGGTTGATTTTGCGTAGATGAAGGTACAACCGACTGATGGTGTACTCCTTGACCTGCTCCATTTCCAACCAAAGCATCACTTAGTGGCTCATTAGTATTTTCGGTAAGTCGAGCGAGGCGGGACAAATTATATTCTACAATACTGTTATAGGACTGTGGTCCACCACCATTACCAGAGCAGTTTGAATTGAGGTTGACATTCATATTGTTCGACAAACTGTTTAATCCACCATTTATACCCGCATTTAAACCAGCATTTATTGTGTTAATACCTTGTCCTAATTGTGAATTCAATGCATTATTTAATGGTGCATTAGATAAATTAGTATTAACAGAGTTAAGTCCGTTATTGCCAATTAAACCGTTTAAATTATTATTGACACCACTGCCTATGCCATTTCCGATGCCATTGAAACCATTCACATTGCCATGAGAGTGCATATTTTGTGAATGTAACTGGTGATGTAACGATGTTGCGCTTTGTGGAGGTGAATCTGGTGTTAGCACATTTGGCAATATAAAGCCATTACCAATACCGGAAAGTTCACCTTCAAATGAGCTTTGCATAGAAGTTGGTAGGGATATTGGGCTACTAGCAGTAACAGAGCTTGCCAGCTGACTTTGTGAGTTATTTGAGTTGTTCATGTGGTTTCGTCCATTCATCATTGGAGGCATACCAGGTAAAGTAGGAGGTGGTGTGCTCTCCTTTGGTGATGGTGGTGTAGACTCTGTACGAAATGAACCAAACAATTCTAAAGCAAAGTGCTCGAATTTCTCAGGCTTGGTATCGAATGTCAAGGAGTAATTGATGTTACACTTCGGCATATTGTTGATTAAATTAATGTATTGGCTACTAATCAATTTTTTCAATGAGAGAAATTCGGCAGCGTTAGCCTGATCAAGAACACGTTTTGTAAACTTGTTAGTACTTTCAATGCGTCCAGTGGTATTTTCAAGGTTTTGTAGTAAATCCATTATTTTTAGTTCACGTTCTGAGTGCAATTTACTAAGTTCAGACATTGCCTTTTCACGGCATTCTTGCAAAAATGCTTTACATTTTTCATATGTATCTTGAATAACATCACGTGCAATGTCATGTTGATTTTGGAGTTCCGATAGAGCACTAGAGAGATTAGCTGCAGATGAATCGCAATATGGAACCTTTAAAATAAAAAAAAAATTGTATTTTTTTTAATTGCGCGATGTAAGAACATGTAAATAATTTACCTTTGATTGAGCCTCTTTCTTTAAATTTTCAACATCCTCACGTACAATTTTATCAGCTATACCAAGCAAATCATAATGATGTTCACTACCTTTGTGTGTATCACCAATAAGACATTCATTACACAATGGTATTTGGCAATTGAAGCAGTAGTATTTGAGATTCTCTGTAGTGTGATTGCTGCAGAAAAGTGGTTTATGCACAGTTAATGGTTTCTCAGAACCAGACTTTTGCATATCCTCCAACTTAACAACTTCATGGTTTTCAAAGCAACGCATATATTTATGAGCCTTGTCGCAACCTCCACAGAGAAAATTGGCACATTCGCTACAGCGTGATATAGCATTTTCTTTACTCTTACAGGATGTGCAATTAAGTTGTTCTGCTTCGATTGTAGATAAATCAAGGATATTAGTTTGAATGTAATCGAACATTAACGATTCAACTCCTTTAGGTCCGACCTTTAATAGAAAAGCAATATATAAGTACAATTGTTAAATATGACCTCAGAAAAATGTGAAAACGTATACATAAAGCACAATAAAGAGATTTGCCAATATGACTCGGGAAATTTCTATAAAGAAATATATTACGACATAAGGGATTTCAACCTAAAATCGTATTATGGTAAAGACGAAGCTTAACATTATAACGTATGCTAGTCCAACAAGTTGAATTTTCACAGTCAATTTTATGACCCAGAACCAAGTTTTCACACGGAAAAGTGCCGATCGGATCTTTAAAGAAAAGATACAAACTTTGAATCTTTGAGCCTGAACTGCTTCATTTTCGTTCTTTATTCTTCGTTATGGTTCGGTTAAAATAAAATACATCAGTTTGATCTCGGATTTTACCACGACAAAAATATCGGGTTTGATATTTCTGTTCAGTATCAAGTAACCATTTTCGATATACTTATATTACAATTCATTATCATCATTAAAATTATTTTATTAATTATAAATTATTAGTCGATCTTCTGGTTTTAACAATAACAACAATCACATATACAATCGGCATATACAACAGAGCATAAGTAATAAGTAATCTTCTTATAACCAATTTAAAGGTTAAATTAATAAAGCTACAATTCGTAAACAGTTATTTCGATACATTAAGAGTTGGGCATCATATATAGATTTCATTAAAAAAAATTGATAAACTGATATACGCTAACTATAGACCCATTTCGTTGTTAAACATATAATTATTCTTAAACATGTAATCACTTGTAAATAAATAAATTTAAATTCATTGAATATTCAATAGTGTATAATAACGAATAATGATATTTATAGTATGCAAGAAAGTTATCAGCATTTACTTGATTATGTATACAATTTTCAAAATAATGTTAACAATAATAATAGTATTAATACTTACCGTAGTTACTTGTTTACAAGTTGGGCATTCAATAGCTGATTTCAATGGTGGAGTAATAGGATCTCCATTAGAAGAAGTAGATGAAGCCGAAGATGCCATAGAGTCATCTATAAGTAATTTCTTCAAGCAATTTTCACAAAACACATGTAGACAAGAAAGTACACGTGGGGATACAAAACGTGCGCTATAAATAATATAAGAGAAATTAATTATTTAACAAAATATAATGTAGAACGGTGTTAAATTTTCATTTCACAATTTAGAGATTTGCAAATAACTTACTTGCATATCTTGCAGGTTTTATCCGAACCATCACTTGCAGAACCAGTAGAATCTTCTAATGGTCCTGAATCCAGCTCGCCACCTTTTCCATCAAATACGTCACTAAACATGGTACCAGTCAATGAAGACGAACGGGACCCAATATATTTATTGGAAGTCAAAGAAGTTGCTGGTAACACGTCTTTGGAGTCCTCAATAGAGAAAGGTCCAACCAATTTGTCAACAAGTAAATCAGAAGTACTAGAAGTAGTTGAAGTCACTCCTTTCCCAGTTATAGTAGTAGCAATACAAGAAGAAGAAGCAAGAAAATTATTGGGTTTAAGTTCCTCAATAACAGAAGTAGTCGAAGTGATCTTAGTATCCTCAAACGATGCCATATGTTGTTAAATTGTTAATATGTTTTAACAAGCACGAAATCAATTCTGCGTTACCTTCAACGATAATAATTGTTTGGTAATTTGTTCTTTTTTTTTACGCGATTTTATTATTTTATTATTTGTTTAGCTTTTAGTTTTGATTTATTTATTCATATATTGAGTTAAATTTGTATTATTTGGTTTGATTTATTGCATTTATATTAAAAGTCTCTTTCAATTTTATATATATCTTTTAAAAATGGCGCTCGCATCAATAAATGGCATTAATAACGCGATTTAATAATCGTGAAGTAATTTAAAACCGATTTAAATATTTAAATAAACTTCTTAAAAATATCGATTAAAATGGAGAGTAAAAGTCTCTTAACGTAATATAATTGTAATAAAATTATTGTTGTATATATATATTTATATATACATATATATATAGACAATATATATGTATATATTTGTTATATGTATAATCTTCTTGGATAAAATATATTTGTAAATGTAAAATAAACGAACACACTCACAGCTTATTTCGATCTTGCAAACTTGATTATTCAATTAACTTTAAAATATACTAATTTAAGCCTCCTTGAGATTTTATATTGCAATTTAGTGTTCAGCTCAGTTTTTTCTTCGTTTTGAGATTAAGATGCGCGCTGTAGGGTGCAAGTTATAAAATGGCTTTTTAAGTTAATTTAATTTTAAAATTTGCAAAAATAATTTGTTTTTGTTTTGTTTTGTTTTGTTTTTGCAAATAAATTTTAGCTAAGAATAAAATGTTGATTATTAAAATATTTGTTCCTTAGGATGTTTTAAATTAAGTCGCTTTAAAATTATATTATTATTGATAAAAATTATTGATTCAAAAAAAATAAATTATTGTTTAAAGATTACTTTTGGTTTGTTTATGCTTTTTTTCAAACTGGTATATGATATAAGTTAGCTCTAGATATATCTAGAGCCGTCCGTTTGAAGTGATTGCTGCTTACGTACGCAAGGAATCCAATTAAGTGTGCGGGACGTTCTGTTAAACACACACACACTCGCGTCCAAAATGCACTATTATTTTGTAATCGTTATTGACAATAACAATTCCAACACACAATACTGAAATTAAAAATTTAATATTAATTTACAAATCTACAATATATATTAAAAAAAAATCGCAGAATTTTACTATATATAGTGTTTACTATATATAGTAAAATCTAAGTTCTAATAATGCACACACAAACAAACGTTTTAATACACTAACGCCCTCATAAGAAGATATTTTTATAATTAGACATTCTCTCATAAACCAAATCACTCATAACAGAGATATTCTCTCAAAAACGAGAGAATAGTCTCATTAATAAACGGTAACAAAAATAGACGGTCTCAGAAGCGGACGGTCTCATAAACAGACGGTCTCAAAAACGAGAGAATAGTCTCATAAAAAAATGGTACCATAAATAGACGGTCTCAGAAGCGGACGGTCTCATAAACAAACTGTCTTAAAAGTGAAATATCTCATAAACGGACGGTCTTAAAAACGGATGATCTCATAAATGGACGATCTCAAAAACGGACGGTGTCCTAAACGGGCGATCTTAAAAACGGATAATCTCATAAACAGGATGTGTCAAAAACGGACGGTCTTAAAAACGGATGAACAATATCAAAAACGGATGATTTCATAAACGGAAGGTCTCATAATGGGAGAGTCTCATAAACGGACGATCTTATAAGCGGATCTCATAAAATAGAGGAATCGAGGAAAATCTTATAAACGGACTACTCTCTTAATGTTACAATATTGCTATTCCTTAGTATTTCTATTTAATACGAAATACTTTTTTTAAGCAAACTGTACTTTTAGCCGGACAGAGTTACTAGTCATATAAGTGCACGCTCGAAAGAGATTTCATCTAATTTAATCTAACCTTTAATCTAATCTATGCCCTATTTTCCGACTATGAGCGTCAATTCATATATTATATCATAATAATACTTATATTGATTATATATTGTATACAAATTGACTAAAATAATAAGTCTTAATTATCCATAATGTTAATAATATATAGTTATAAATAATAAAAATAAATAATTAATAGCAAATCCAAATACTTTCGGCTACTCTTCAAGAAGTGAAATATGTAGATAAAGACACGTTTTGAGAAAGCAATTACTTTTCAAAGTAGAAGTACATTTATTTAGTTTTTAATTTAATCGAAGTAGAAGGTTTTAAAAATTGGTACTTCAATTAACTAGGAAGAAATTATTCATTTCACAGTATTCATTTCATTTCTTGAAATGTCTTATACATCTGAACATGGAAAGATAATGACGCCAAATATGTATTAATACAACACATTCAAGTTACTAAAAGAGTATACTTCTCTGTGTACTAAAACCTGTTAAATCGAGAATAGTAGAAGTAATCTCGTTAAACTTCTAAACTTAAACTTAATATATTCCCAAAGTAATAAGTTTGAAAATAATGAACTTTAGAAACTGGACTATCTCTGCGAGTGAAGACGGTGCATTAAAGCAAATTACCTTTCCATTGAAAACTTACTATAAGATCTAAATCTATTATAATTCTAATAAAAATAAATAACCAAATTTGGAACGTTTTCAATAATATTTATGCATATAAACTAATATTATATATTTAAAAACCATTTAATATATTTGTACATATATTTGATTTCAATTAATTTATATAAATAAACTTTTAATAAATCGCTATTACTACCAATATTGAATTAGTTTTTATATTTGTTACTGAACTTAGGTCGTTTATTTAAAACATAAATTTATAAAAATAAACTTTTTTAATACATTAATCTATACATATATTTTCATTGCGTATTTTATATATAAAATCTGATCATTTGAGATAACGATTGAAATGAGATCATTGATGATCCACATTTAGCATCTAAAGCAACTGTTGTTTGCTACTGCCACTCATAAAAACCTTCATTAAACGTTAAATACTTTATTTAACAAGAACTCGGAAACCTATTTAAATATTTAAATATAGCACCCATAGGAACCATGTTATAGATTTAGTAATGTGCGCTATTAATTTTTTTCTATAGTTAATATTATTTCAATATTGCAACCGTTAATATTGCAAGGACTTTTAGCTACGCATCTATATGACGTATCAAGCAGTTACACCCCATCTTTTGCTGCATCTAACGATCGCTGCACTTATATTTTGAATATATTGATAACTATTATACAAAGACAACCAATTTACATCGAATACTGGCAAAGATTTTTAGCTACATATCAAAATGTCTATAGAACTTCCACCCTTGTTGTTACATCTGATAATCTCACTTACTTTTTTTTAATATATCGACAAATATCGTAAAGGCGAAAACATGGAATAATATCCAATAAGACCGTGGGCTTTCAGCCCCGTACACCAATGTAATATTTTTCTCGAGAACACATATATATGAGGACTTAGAACCTGACTTTTCTCAGCAAAAAAGAAATACATACATGAAAATATGATTGACAACGTAAAAAATTTAATGCACATACATATCTAAATTCTTATATATATAACACTTTTTTAATAGTAATACTGTATTATTATAAGGAAATAAATAAAATTTATTACATTTATATTATATATAAATATATATAACTTACACGAATGTTATACTCCTTTTTGTGGTTTTTGTTGTATATGTCGGCCCTTTTAATAACAATTTAGACCAAAGTCTGTAAATATTAACAAATTTTTATACACAATTAAAATTCAATTTCAAAGAATTTATTATAATTATATTAATATCAATCAATAATTTAATAAAAGATATATCGAATTAGTATTACTTTGTAAATAAATTTAATGAAATATACGAACAGCAACTGCAGATTTGTAAGCAAAACGATTTACTACAACTCAACCAAAAATTTTTAAATGCTATCTCGTATTGACATTTGTTCTTTCTTTCTGTCAAATTACGGTTATAATTTTATCTAACCATTGTTGCCATCTTATTTCATTATTACTGCATAAACAGCATAAACATTTAAACACGATTTTTGTGCTTATGATTTGAAAAAAATACTTAAATAATTGCAGAAGATTCTTAAGACAATATACTAAAAATTATAAACTATAGTCAAAGCATGTTAATTGAATTAAATAAATCAAATTAATAACCAACCAAATAGGTTAATTTTACACGTTTACACTTCCAATAATTGAACCTCAATACCGCATTTATAAAATTCTTAGTATATTAAATATTGTTTAAAATTTTGAGGGAACACCTTGTTTTAAGCGTAATTATTATTCAAATAATTTTATTTTCATCAAAAATTCATTATATACGACTTAAAATAATATATCAAAATTTAAGTAACACCATTTTAGTTATTGAGGAGAGGCGATAGTCAAAAGACAAAATCATTAAAAATCACGTAAACACTAAACGTTTACATATGCAATATATAAAATTCAAAGATTGTATATAAAAAAAAAAAAACATTTAGATATAGTCAAAAGATTACAATCACTCCTGCAAGATTCGACTTTGAGAAGTCCATATGCTAGTTATAGTTTAATCATCTAATAGGTTGAATTTTGAAACTAATTTGGTTGGGATTCCAAGAATGGCTTAGGTTATGTTTCAGTGCTACTCAAATGTTGCTCACCCTTCTGGATAAGACAAAAGAGATATGATCCTGTGAATATAACAATTAAATAAGCAATAGATGGTGTAGTGATAAACATCAGTTTTGACAGTTTTGATCTTGTCACATCGCACACCCTCTTCAAAAGAGAAATTCGTCAATTTTGAGTTGATGTATGGAACTTGCTTATAGTTTACCTGTCTACCAATACGCAAAATCTCACTTTGTTTTTATTATTGCAAATTGTCGAAAAAAAACATTTATCTTTTTTTTGTTAGGAATGACACTAAGCTGCAAAATATTTTTTGTTTTTTTTGAAAATTGACGAATTTCGAGTTGTGCGTCTTTTGAAGATGTGCGATATGTGATATTATTATTTTCAATGTAAATAAAAAATTTGGATATGAAAGACATGTCCATTAAACATAGACATAACTATTCATCAGTTAGTAGACATAACCATTTGTCAGTTTGTAGACATAACCATTCCTCGTATGACATTGCTTTCAGGGCCCAGAAAAAGATAGATCGGATTTTACTGATAAAGATAGTGGAATTGAAATAAAGTTAATCGAACAAATTCCTCTTTTGGAATGGTTAGCAAATAATTACATTATGTTTGGTTCTACACTTAGAATTATTACTGACAAATCTCAGGAGAGTAGTAAAATTGTTAGAGGATTTGATGATATTAGTGGAATATAACATTATACAGTGGACTTCCAGAGTATGCTATTAGATGACATCGAGAATGAATGTTTTTACTTTAAGAAGATAAGGAGACAGAAATTTCAGTATAATTGAAGCGATCACTGATTAGAACAACATCCCACACCAATATTTACTACAATTATTATTTCGAGGTTATTTAGTCTATGAATGTATCCATTCTAAAAATGTTGAAAATGACGAAATATTCAGTAAAATTATTTAAATTACAAATTTATTTATTTATTTTTTTTTCTGGATTATTTCAACTATGTATTAGTTTTTAGAAATAAAAAGTAGAGTTAATTATATAAAATAACACAAGTTATATATGAACATCATTATTTTATAAAAATAGACAATTATATAAATTCTCTTTTTTTTTAATTGGTCTTTGATAATGCTTACTAACTAGCCCAAGTCTATATTAAGTATACTGAAAAAAAAAAGAAAAACAAATGAAGGAAATCGAGTGAAAAAAATTAATTGAATTAATAAATATGGGCAAAAAAGATAAAAACAATAAAAACGCCATCAGCTAGTGTGAAAAATTCAAACATAGAAGAACTGAAGAGATGCTGAGGAGGCAATTACGCTATATTCTACAAAAACAAGAACAACAAAATGCATATCACCGAATAGAGTCAACATTATTTACGCCGTTTTAATATATAAAATAATGTCTACTAATATAAGATAAAGTTTTTTTTTATGAATATATGTAGGTACATATTTTTTTTTGTAAACCTGACGCAGTCTATTAACCAGCATCTTATTTCACTATTTTACTGGTAAAGGTGGCATGAAATTAATACAAAAACAATAAAAATAATTGTTAACAAAACAGAAGAAAAAAAAACAGAAAAAAACTTGAAGCATTGCAAGTCAATACTAATGCAAGCAGCGCGTCAGCGTCAGCCATTGCACACAGCCCTTCTCGCTCGTCATCTATCAAAGAAAATTCAAATCAAGTTAAGAATATGGTCATATGCAATGGCCGAGGGGGTGGTAGCCACCTTGAATAGAAATAAGCACCAGATTGCAATGTCATGTGCGAACTTGCAATCAATGTTTTGTTGATGTACGTAAATCTGTTTAGTTTTGTTGTTTTTTGGTTTTTTTTGTTTTTTTTTTTTGTATTATATTTTCCATTTTATTTAATTTTGCTGATTTATTTTTGTGTGTACATTTCTGTAATTTTCTATACACATAATTTTATATAAGTGCTTTTGTTAAGTCTTTCAGTGTTACAACGAATGTGAGTATCATAACAAAGACGAAAATGAATAAATTAAATTAGATGCTAAACTAAGTGTATCCGCAGCAATACTTGAAAATTGCATTTATACAAATATCTGTAATAAAGGATTTCATTACATTTGCTTTGGAAATTATACTTTAATATATATATACATATGTATATTTATTAATAAAATTTAAGTTATTTTTTTATTTAAAGCATATCATATTGAGCTATATTACATATAGTAAGAATTGTGTGAAATTAGCAATCTCTTTCTAACTAATATAATTTAAAATCTTTTAAACTAATATAATTAAAAAATATTTTAGAAATTATTATTAAGAAAATCAATACAAATGCAATTTTTTTTTTTTTTTTGATCGATAGCTGACCAAATTTACCGCTCAATCTTAATAATCAAATAACAGCTGCTTTACTGCTCATCTTAGTACCACAAATACTAACATAGAAAATGATGAACAATAAACCCCTCATTATTCAAATAGGTAGAGATATTGATTTCAGGCAATAGAGTCAGGCAATTTTAACAAAAAATTCTAAACTCACTTTAATGTTTACTTAAAAAAATAAGCAAAAAAAAATTATTTTAAGGAATATTTAAATATAATTTAGCTAATGCTAAATGAATTAAAGCAAAAATGGATAGCAAACTCTATTTGACTTTAAAGATAATAGTCAAAAATAATTATTTATTAACATTTTAACCACATTCTATATTTATAATATATATTTTAATATCTAATATTAACAAGTAAATGTTAATAAATAAAAGTTATGTTGTGTGTAGCATAAAACATATGCACCTCTACATAAATTTACGATAAAACAGCACATATTTTTTCATATAATTGGCAACACTAAAAATCAAAAACTATTTTTAAAGTTCTTGTTATCGTATGCCCACTGTGTGATTGAAATTTTTTTTCTTTTACTTTTTATTTTGTTTGCTGTCTTCGCCCTCCCTCGTGTTTTCACCTCGTGTACATTCTTTACTGGCATAATTTTCTGCACCTGGACGGATGCCTCTAACAATCAGATTTAATTCTATTCTTTACAAAAATTCACTATTAGCTGTTAAAAAAATTTCTATAGTCAAATTATTAAATATTTTCACTTATTTAATTTTATTATTGTTGTTTTTTTTATGTACTTAAGCATGGATAACTACGTAAAAAATACCCCACCTAAGCTTTTCACACCACTGCTTCAAGTACTGTCGTGTGTCCTTGAACATTAGTCCAATTTTTTTTCTTACTGCAGTTAAATGTCCTTCCACAAGAAAAAATTACATGATTTTAATTATTTTCAATTCACGTTCAAATCTCAACTTTTTAATGTATTTTGCAAAGATTTAATTTATTACACGTTTGTTTTCTAAATTTTCCAACTACTTACACACTTAAACGAAAGAATTTTTTTTTTTTTTGCACATACCGAAAATTTTCACACATTGAATTCAATTATTTGCTCTCATTAATTTTACGCATTATTTCTTAATTATTGACATATTTTTTAATGAATTATTGTTTCTTCATAAAATTCTGCACAAAAATATATAATATTTGCACATTTTTCGCTTACCTTTGCCATCATTAGATTTTTTCCACCGAATAAGGAATGGCTTAGACCTTTTATTTGGTTGCGATAGCTGTGTGAATAAAAATTTTTTTCTTCCCAAAGGCAAAAATGAGAAAAATTGCGCCGGCGCGTTTTTTCCAGTGTCAAAATATATTTCCAATGTATTCTAATATTATTTGTATGCCATCTGTTAATTTATCGATAACATTAAATTTACACTGGTATTTAAAATAGCAACAGATAAAATGCTAATGTGATTGATTACCTTTTATAATATTTGAAAAAAAGTTATACATGTTTTTTATTTAAGCGCAACTACATTTAACCAACAAAAAACTGTAATTTATGTATTTAAAAGCAGAAATTTTAATAATACTGAGGATACACTATACTTTACTAAAAACATTACTTTACGCATGAATATACAATTATTTTTATACATATATAATATCTATAACATAATATGTATATTCTTTTGACATGATTGCTTCATGACAGGTTAGTAATTGTGAAGAAGTTAATTATTTATTAACAAATTTTTAATTTCTGTGTTCATTAAAAAATGTAAAATGTAATAAATATAAAATATAATCATTAAAAATGGCAATTATAAGAAAACTAAAATAATATTAAATACTTCTCATTTAGCATTAATTACTAATGTTAGAAGTTTGAAAATTATATAAATAAATTTATTCACGATATATTTATATAAAAAAAATTTTTTATTATTTGTCATATGTTTACTGATTTAGGTAGTGATGCCAAGTTATTATTAAGCACCAAAAATTGTTCTATTGGAGCATTCATGTCAAAATAATACACCTAATAATGCATATAAAAAAACAAAAAACGGAATATATCAAAAAAGTAAAATTATGCTTATGAAAATTTTTCTATTTTCAACCATTTTTCTAGTCAACTATTCTGATTTAAAACTAATATATTGAAGAAATTACATTTATTTGTTTAATGGCACCATTGAGTTTGTTTTAAACTGCTGTTAAGAATTTTTATAAGATGTATATATTCTTTCCCTTTATTTATATTTTATTTATTTGCACATATAAAGTATGAAGATCAAGCATCGCATGGTCGCATATTTTCCAGCAACTTCAGCTAGTTGCTCTTCAGCATTGAAGAGTTCCAATAATATTTTAAGACACACAAAAATGCAATTAAATTTTTTTTTCAAAACACTTTATTGTCAGATTATTATTAAGTCTAGTGTAATTAAAATAGTTTGATATGACTTGTTTTGATGCTAACATTGGCTTGTATTTATAAAATTATAAAAATTATTCATTATATGAAAATGAATTATTCCTATTTTTTATATTTGCAGTTTATTGCCATAGCAAAAAATTCAGGAAACTAAACATTCATTTATTTTCTAATTTCAAAAAAGTTATTGAAAGAACTGCTAAACAAAATACGTCTTGTAATTGTACACATATTCTTTTTAGAGGAAACACACGATGCAAAATATTTATAAAAAAAAAATTTAATTTTTAAACGCATTAAAAATAATTTATGAGTAATGATGATTTAAAAAATGTATGAAATTAAATTCTTTTTTATTTGTTTATTTGAAGCACGATAATTTTGACTATCAGCTGATCACAGTATTTTTTTGGATAAAAAGCTGGCAGCACTATGCGATTTCGCACTATTTGAAAACAAAAAACAATTTAAATAAGCGAGGCTTAACTAACAATACATTTAAATTTATATGAAAACATTTTGTACATAAATATTAAAAATGTTACAAACTAGTGCAATGAAGCAGCTTGGAATAAAAAATATGGGCTGCGTTGTTGAACAAATGGAATGGAGCAATAAAATGGACCTAATCGCTTTCAGTACCGACAAAGGTATATGATTATAAATTATGTATTTTTCTATATAATTAAAGAGTTAAAAATTTTAAAGGGGAAGTTATTATACAGCGTTTAAATTGGCAGAAAATTGTGACTTTTCCATCTCCAGGTGAAAATATATTTGTACGGTCACTAGGTTGGCAATTGGATGAAACAATTGTAGCAGTTGGTAGGCAACATAAATATAATTGAACCTGAACTTTAATTAAAGTTTAACAATTTTACATTTAGGATATAGTAATGGTAGAGTTTCACTTTTGGACGCTGAGCGTGAAGATGTCATATCAAATCTTGACTATGAGGAAGATATAAAAACAGTTTTCTTTAGTAAAGCCATTAATGCGACGAACTATAAAAATAGCTATAGAAATCAGAGTGAGGTGAAAATTGTTTTCTTTTAAAATGACTATAATTTACTTTAATTAAAATCACTTTTACTTTTAGTTATCATATGATTTCTTTTTACCTACATTACCTTCACTAAGCGCTATTGGTGCACCGGCGAAAACTATAGAATATCACAAGTCATTTGCAAAAGGATCACCATGTTTTCTTGTAATTATTATGACAAGTGGAAAAGTGCATTTTTTGCTTTTGGGTGCACTGAAAGCAGGCACAATTGATTTGAAAGAGCATGTAGCACAACCTGATGAATTTGAAGTATATGATGTACGTATGTCTGGCGATTTTAATACAGTTTATGCACTTGTAAGAGATGGTGGTTATTTAAAAGTTCTACAATTTCACAATGAGATTTTGGAGCAGTATATATCTCCAATGTTACATTTGTCCGAACATTGTGCTAATATTTTGGAGACCAAAAAGTAAGTAAAAATTGTATTTACTTAATGAAGAATCACTAAATTAAAGTTCTATTGGAGTATTGTGTGTTTTATAACATTAAAATCACAATCAACATTAAGTACATAGTTTCTAAATTACTATAAATTATAATTAAGAAACTAGAAAGAATAAATAAGTTAAAAAAAGTAGCTACATAAAAGCTCGACAAGGGATTGTTTTGTATATTTATTTCTCATTTGTCAGTCTTAGTTTTGTCGTACTTTGTATTAAATAAAATAAATGAAAAACGCAACATTACAGTTATTGTTTAGGAATTTATCCTACACAAAGAGTAACGCATCCTCTTTGCACATTTTTCACTGCACCGAAGCTAATTTACTGTTTCTGCTGATTTAGCTTAACCATCATGACCATCATGATGAACAATGTTGCACTTATGATTTCTTTTAAAGAAATCAACTATAGATACGACTTAAATCAGAACAATGCAAATCTCAGCACAACTGATGTAGTTTGGTTAATTTTTGCTGGACATTTTCAGTTCAGTTCCAGTCAAGTCAACAAATCCACTGGTTCTAGTTTGGAATGCATAAGAGGATAATGTATGAATATATAAGGTTATAACGACGATCCCAAATGGTCCCCATAGGCCTAGGAATGCTGGACACTTTCAGTTCAGTTCCAGTCAAATCAACAAACCCACTGGTCCTAGTTTGGAATGCATAAGAGGATAATGTATGAATATATTAGGTTATAACCACGATCCCAAATGGTCCCCATAGGCCTAGGAATGTATTAATAAGTAACTAAAGTTTATAACAATATTAATAACGAAAGTAAATTTAAATGAATAAAATTCTGATAAAGAAGTAATAATAATTTTTTTGAACGGGCTAAATGGTCAGTAGTTAAATAATACAATTAATAAAACCATTAACTATTGAAAAAGAATTAATTAACAATTAGGAGAAAAACAAGTCATTGATATTTTTTAAGTTCACATATTAATAATAACTAGCAGTTAGAACAATTTAAGCCAATTTAATAAAATATGTACATTCCTTCTACTACTTTTTTAGTTATATAAATAACACAATACAATGTATACTCGAGTCTTGGGAAACTGTTCTGATTGAAATGGATAACAAACTTACCAAATATGCGAATCAACAGCCTGAAGGTTCATTATCTGCAGATTTTTTGGAATTGCTTGTTTTTGGTTATGCTACCCATGAAATTGAAGAATTTTTAATGGAGTACGTACGAAGAATAAAAAACATTTTAGATATTTTAAATAAAATTTGTTTTAACTATTTTATTTTTTTGCAGAGAAATCACAGAGAAGGGACTAAAAAAGTTGGCTAATTCAGTTGATCTGAGTTACTCTACAATACAGAATCTAGTTACAAAACCAATGCAAAGTGCAGCAATTAATATGTTTTATTTTTTAAATACTATAAAAGGTCTTGGACGTATAGCCTATTTTTTTGAGGTATGTCCCGACATTCAAAATATTTTTACAAATTTCGTTACTATAAATTATATATATTTCAGCCTTTGATTACTACTGAAGTAGCCGAGGAAGCACTTAGACTTTGTGGAGCATTCCTTATTAAAGTATTAGAAATGCAGCAAGTGATTGACCAAAGTGTCAATGATATGAAACTATTCTTTTGCTGGTTATGTGTGGTAATAGTACGACTACATCAACAGGACGTTACAGAAGATATGTCACAAATATCACCTGAAGATACTATATATTTGGCTGAATATCTTAATAGTTTTGAGGATTGTGTTATAAAAAATTGTGAGTATATAATAGAAGACCAAAGTGCAGCAAGGGTTCAGCGCTGAATTTAATGAAAAGTATTTGTATATTATTTAATCAAATTGTCAACAGAATCTTTCACTTATATATGTGAAAATTATAGTAACACGAGTCAAAAGTAAGTTTTCTCATGTTAGTAAAATGGTTTTGACCCCTTCCTGAACTAAGGATTTCAATTAATATAATTGAGTGTTAATTGCTAAAAAAAATTTTTATTTTAATAGATGACGGCACAGTTACTAAACGAAAATTTAATTTGGAAAAAGTTGGTCAATATTTGGAGAATAAAAATTTACAACAAATGGCTAAAGCAGATGTGCATCATTTGTGGAATAAATTAGTAGAGGAAAATGAATGTTTAGGTAATTGTACGCTTTTATATCCACACGAAAAGGAATTATCACTAATTCAACAGCGCGATAAAATGTTCAATGCAATTGATCAAGTTTTAAAAAAAACTGATGATAGCATTAGCGCTAGCTTTGAACTCAATAATAGTGTAGTATGCAGTAGCTTGCCATCGAATGGTAGCGACTTTGTATGTAGCTCTTATAATGTAAATACAACAACAAATTGTGATGTTATTGTAACGACAATTAATTGGAATGAATTACTAGTGTTAGAATTTAATCGTATATTTACAACAATGAGATGCACTCGTTTAGATCTGCGACCAGGGCCCTTTACTTCAAATCTCAATATATCATTGGAGAATTTACGTTTCGTTGATTTACAATTTTACAACGAAAACATACTCTCAATCCTGCTACAAAATGAGCAGGAAATTCCACAAAGCTTCTTTTTGCAGTTAACGCTGGATGTCTTGAATGGTAAAGCTACTGAACACGCTCTGCCACATAATTTGATAATGTCAGAAATCGCAATTGGACATAGTTTACATGACTCAATTGAAACCACAAATTTCAAGAATATGGACGGCATCTGCACTCATTTGGCAGTATCTGGGAGCAGAAAGGTAATATTATATTGTTGAACTTTTAATTTCAAAAGTTTATATTTTTTTGTTTGAAAAGGTTGCAACTTTACTATCGGATCTTCAACGTAAAATGACGATATTTGAAATGGAAGTCGAGGAAGATGATGAAGACACCGAAATGTCACAGAATTCATTATTAGACATGAGTAAAGAATCTGCAATTTCATCGAATGAATGAATAATTGAAGAATTTATGACTGCTTCATTAGTTATTACCATTTAATAGAAATTAAAGTATATACAAAAAAGTAGAAAACAAACAATGTTACTTAATAATATTGCATGCTAATATTGTTGTTGATATTAGTTACAACACTTTGTCTTAAGTATAAATACATATAAAAATAAATTATATGGAAGTTATTAATTAGTTTATTTTTATTAATTTATTCTATGTCTGATTCCTCGTCGCTTGAAAACTGTCCACGTCTTCTGCGTTCTTTCCGTTTATTACGTTTTTTGCCACCTTTGCCCACAGTTAAAGCAGTTTCTTCTTCGTCATTTTCTGACTCACGAGCCTGACTTACAGGCTCGTTATTATTATCTACCTGACTAGATTCATCTATAGTACTTGGCTGTTCACTATTTGCTGTTTCAGCAAGTTTCTTATTTTCGTCTTCCTCAGCCTTCTTCTGTGATTTAACTAATTCACATAAATATTTATATCGCACTAAGCATTCCTCCTTCGTTTTTTCTGGCACACAATTAGCTATTTTTTCCCAACGATCACCTGTAGCATTTTTACGATATTTTATAATTGCTGCTTCAAGTGCACGTTGTTGCTCTTGTGACCAATTGGTTTCAGGTAACAGTATATCATTTTGTGCTGTCTTTTTAATTTTTTCTTTTTTGACTGCCTCATTAGTTTGCTGCACAATATTTTCAGCAACACTATCACTTTGACCCGGTATACGATAACCATTTTCCTTCATTTTAGCAGCCATAAATGTTACCTCTTGCACAGTGCGATTCATTGCTTCTGCAATAGTATTCCAACGGTTTCCAGCGCCACTTGGATATTTCTTTACTAAGCGAATCAATTCAGTCAGGTCTTCATCTGTCCAAAAGCCACCACTTACAGCAGTGTTCTGTAATATATTTAAATATTAGAACTAAAAATATATTATACTCTTTTTTATATCCACCTTGTGTTCAACAGGTTTTACGGCACTATCTTCAGATGAAACTCGCGTAACTATTTGTGAATATCCGCGTAAGTCATCATCCGTTTTTTCAGGTGCTTTAGTGTTTTGTTTGCGTTTACGCAAATTCTCCTTTTTCTCTTTTCGTATGCGTTGTTGTTCTTCCAATTCTTTTTCCAGCTCTTCCTGTTGTTTAGCTGCTTCTAATTCACTATATATAAGCAAAATAATGAAGTATAATCTATGCTTTTTGAATTTAATTTTATTTTACTTACAGTCGACGATTTTCTATGGCTATGTCCTTTAATTCTTTTATTTTATTAAAACTATTTTTCACAGTTTTTGGTAAATTCCAAATTGCCAATGGTATTTGAAATGGCAATGTTTTCTGTAATTATCAACATAAGTTTATTATTACTTTTTTAAGACTCAATTTAAATAAACTCACAAATATGGATGGCACTGGTATTTCATTCAAAATTGTATCCATATCGATATTTTTATTTTTCTTTTGTATTTTCTTTAATTTAGAACCAAATACTTGTTCCTGGAGATAAGCAAATATAATAATTTGAATTTGTTTTTGAACATATCGAAATCAAATACTCACGGCAGTATATTTTTTCTCTAAATAAGCTGCCCAAGCGAATATATATTGTCCAATTGTCACAACAATAAATATAATCAAGGCGCCTTCATAAAGTCCGATCTTCCGCATACGCCTATAATAATACAATGCAGACTTCCAATTTGGTAATCCATCTTTAAGGACTTTATTGTATTTTTCTCTTTTAGACGGATCTTTCAATACTTCATATATGGATACTAAATTACGAAATTGTATATTAGCATCCTCGGAGGGATTTTTATCCGGATGTAGTACAATCGATAAATTCCGGAATGCACGTTTGACTTCATTGTGTGTGGCTTCCTATTATATTCACAAATAAACTGATGATCTCTGTTAATAATGATGCTCAAGAATAACTCACTTGTGTTAGGCCCATGAACTCATAAAAATTTTTATTAATTTCTTCGACCAGATCGAAGATTTCCAGTTCCTCTGTATCCCATGCTTGAACATATGTATGCAAACTGCATAGTAGTATTAATCCAATAAATAATTTCATTTTAGATTTTAATTTAGAAAAACTAAAGTTCTACGTCAAACCGTCAACAATTCGTTGACTTTTATAATCAAACTGTCAACGTCACTTCACCGTGCAATATCACCCATAGGGTACAGTGCGTGTAAAAATTTAAATAAATTTGTGCGTAATATTGCCAGATTAAACGATTTAAAACTTTTCTACATTTATTAAACACTTATTATAACAGTTATTGTTTTAGTTTTTGTATTATGTACATTTCGATAATATTTTCATATTTATAATTTAAAAATTTATTCAATTATAAAATAATCAAAAATTTTTTATTATACTGAACAAGTAAAACTTTACTAAAGGGTTAAATAAGAATAAAAATTAATGTAATAATAGTGTAATTTTTATTATTGATTGGTAAATCTCAAGCGAAATATTTAAGAATTAAGATTAATTTATAACATTCTAGATATTTTTCCAGAATAATAGCAAGATGACCCTGAAAACTATAAAAATGTTAGACAACTTTGAAAACGTTCGATTGGGCAACAAAATTTGACAGATCCAGAATAAATTTAGATTATTTAACAATCGAAAACGCCATTAGCTATTTTAATAATAAATCAGACTGCCCGAGAAAACAAAGTTATTAAGAAATGAGTGTATCCCAACTGCTTGAGAGACATTATAGTACTTGAGAAATTAGACTGCCAGAGAAATTAGAGTGCTCGAAAATTTGAAGTGCTTGAGAAATAAGAGCGCCTTAAAAATTAGATCAAAATTTCAGGATCAATTTAAAAAATCATTATTTTTCGTATATACATACTAAGCAGAACCATAATGAAACGAAATGAACTGTTTGGTATAAACATATCTAATACAACTGTTAAGATTTCAAATATTCACTCTGCTACTTTCTGATTTAAAAGAAAATTTTAATTGTGAGACACTTTACGGTTAAAAAGGAAAATTGTGTGTCTGGTAACGCCGTTCTTAACGATTTTAACTTCCTTTCACATTGACGAAAGTTTATTTTAACATAGTTTAGGGTGAGTATTTTGGCTTCATATGGTGTTGTATAATGAAAAATTTTTATTTAGTTGTGTTTCGTGCGTGTGTGGAGTTTAAAGCTTTTCTAGTGGCAGTTTTAGAACTATTAACTATTTTTAGTTTTGTAATAACAAATAAATATTTGTAATTATTTCATTGCCAATGGATTCGAATAATGATTAAAAATAAATATAAATAATTATAAACTATGAAATTACGGTGGAAATTGTGACAAATGTTGTTATTGTGATAACACATATATGAAGAAGATTATTTTCTATGCATATATACATCACGCAATCCTTCCTCGTGTCTTAATCGAGGTTAAATTATAAAAATTACCCACATATGTTTTTATTTATAAATCCATTGATTATGTATGCACATTTATAAAAACATAATTAAAAATAATAAATTAAATTTTCGTTAGTCAAAATGTTTCTGCATTGTTAACGTAAGAATAAACAAAACAAGGATAATTAAAAAGAAAACGAAGTGCTGCAAAAGGAAAGCTGTGTGGAGCTCAGGGTTGCAGCAGCACTGGCAATTAATTAGCGACAGTTTGGCGACGGGAGGGGCCACAGCAACAGCAACAACAACAGCAACAACTATAACCACAACAAAAAAACAAAAACAATGCAAAAATTGCATTGTTTTTCTATGCCAAGGACAACAAAAACGCAGCAGGACTAAATAAAATAAAAAAGGGGAAAAATGTATTTATTCGTTTTTGGCATATTTTACTTGTTAAAATTTGTAAGTACACAAAAAAAAATATTTTATTACATATACAGTATATACAAAACAAAATAACTAATTTTTGAAACGAAAATCAACACGCAAATATAGTTTCAAGCTAATTTTTATTTTAATAACAGTTTAAAGTCTTATATATACTATATACAAACATGTGAATACACATACATACATACAGTTTTTGACAATGAAAATTTATTATTTATATCCCATTTTCGTCATCGCATACATGCATTGTCTACGTATATAACATTTACGCATCTCACAATAGTTTGGGAATTTAATGTACAAACATATAAACATATATTCACCTCAGCATTTCTAAATGATTTATGTTTGTGCACACTTATAATTATTTAACTTCATTAGTGGCGTTTATTGCTACACAATGTACATATAAAAAAAATTAATAGAATTAAATCAATTATATCTAGTATAAAATTCAATTCAATCAATTATATTCAGTATAAAATTATTCAAAATAATACATATAAAAAAAAATTAATTGAATTAAATCCATTATATCTAGCAGCAGTTAAGAACGCCATTATGTCCTTTGTAGAGATGTTGCCCAAATCCGTTAAAAATAGATAGGCAGTTGATAAGTACCGAAGTCTAAGTCTGGTGAGATCACAGTGACACAGAATTTGTTCTGTTGTTTCCTTCTTCGCAACAAAGGTTGCAGTTATCCTCTCTTGTAATACCTAGATTCGATAGATGCTTATTTACTCCGCGATGTCAAGTGAGAAACCCAGTGACAAATCGTATACCATTTCTGTTCAGCATTAGAAGCGCCCTAGTTCTGGCTTTTGATCGATTCGGCATGAATTCTTAAGCTTGTCTGCAGGCAATTAAATTATCACAATCAAACTGAGCTGCTCTTTCGAGCGATTCATTATTTTTAAATTTGAAAAAGCTCCATGAAGGATCGCAGTATAGTTCTTCATAGGACCATATATATATTACGAGTATATATGTAACATAATTAATCGAAAAATCAATTATATTTTGTATAAAATTTTCCTAATCATTTTAATGTGTATTTAAATCCCAAAAAGTCCCCTTATCTACGTCACTGACTGTTCGTGTATAAAAAAATATTTTTAAAAATGCATCTGATATATAAAATTTTAGTACCTACCCCCGTACAGTAAAATCGTTGCAGCAATTAAACTGAGTACTTTTTAATTATTTCTCATTTTGTGTCGAAAGCATGCAATTGGCGGTTCTTATAATGTTCATTTATAGTATATCAATTTAAAAAAAAAACATAGAAAACATTGTTAAGTAGTTTAAAATGTGAAATAAAAAATAAACTAAAAATGCATTTAAAGTTTAAATTGCTTTAAAATTTTATGTTTACATTTTTCAATTTTCGTTGGACTTTGTTCTGTGTGTAATGAGTTGGAATTGGCTGATGCGAAAATATTCATATAAAAATCATAGCAATTTTCGAAGAACAGAAGTAATCAGAAATAAAACATTTAATCACGAAAAAGTTGTAAGATTTTTAATTAAATTTAAATAATTTGTTTATAGTAATTTGGAGTGAAATTGACTTGAACTTAGTTCAGATATTAAATTTAAAGATTTACTTCTATTGTGAATTTTTTTAATATTAATGAAAATGAAAATAATCCTATTAAAAAATAATCTATTTTTTAATTGTTATTTTGTATAAAATTTACAAAACTTGTTAAAATACTTTTTAAAGATTATTAATATCTACGAGTAAATGTTTTTTTCATAATATTCTAAATTAAATTGGATAAAGATTTGCTTTAGTTCGACTTATATAGACTATATAAAATGAAAATATAAATCAGACATTTCAAACAATATTAAAAATTTAATGTGTACTTTATTTTATTTTAATAATAAAAGATCTACTCTCATTCCCATCAACACTAAACAATGCTTTTTATTCTTTGAATATAAATTATTATTTATTGTTTATTTATTGCCTCGTTATCGATGAGAAGATGAGAGATATTTTTATGGCACCACAACGGGCGCCAGACGTTAACGAGTTCTAAGACTTCTTTGTTATAAACTGTACTAATGATAATAATAATAATAACAATAACAATAATATTTACAGTAAAAATAATAATAATATTTATTACTTCTTGGCTTTGTGGCTAAGAACAAATTGTTTTGTTAAAAATACACAAAATAAAATTATCCAACAGATATTTTGCCTAAAAATATGCAACGAAAATTGAATGAAAATTGCTAATGAAACACATTAATTTACTACCGGAAATAAATCCATTTTTACAAAAAAAAAAATTAAACAGATATTTAATTTTTTATTACATTTAATTATTTATATTAATATTTTTTTAATTTAATGTACAATTTTTTGTTTAGGTGACGGATATTGACATCCATAAGTAGACACATATTTTAGTACTTTTAATTGAAAGCAAATATCGCAGGCTTTTATTGTTAGCTAACACAAGCTAACAAAGCTAATAAGATGATGAAGAAGTTATTAGTAATAATCGCTTATAGTTTTACTAACAATTACTTCTGACAAAATTTATTACACGTGCTTTGGCAAAATTGCATGAAATATGTCAATTTGATAAATGTTATCTTTTTTCGAACATATACATAATTATTACTAAAAAATATATAAATATAAAATAGGTATGATTATAAATATAATATAGTGTTATAGTTTTATAGTGCTGAACCTTAACGAGCTAGCTAAGTATGTCAGTATCTAGTTCACATCTGTATCTGGGTACAAAGATATCTCGGACAACTGTAGGGGTTGCTAAGGCAGCCACTCTGCTCTCTGACATTCACTTGCTAGATATCAGTATTCCAATTAAACATTTCATAATTCGTAAGGTCCATTAAAATTCCTAATAAATTTTCTTATGTTCACTGCATTTTAACAAAATATCTCTTTGTGATATTAACATATTTATCTTCGTATACAAAATGGTATGCGATTTATTTGATAGATAAGATCACGATTTCTTCAACAATTAAGCACATTGTCTTTATAACATATACAATAGGACCCAAATATTTTTATTCATTTATTAAACACTAATAGTTTACTCAACTTTGATGAAATATCTTAAACGATCAAGGTTGTAAATTGTATGATTTCTTCATTAAGTCATAATAATTGTTTTACTATTTATTTTATATATTCTAAGGCAAACAATAAATCATAAGTTAACCACATCATATGCATTATACCAGATCACATGTATAAATGTAGCAATTAAAATTTTCTGAAATATTTCTAGCTACGTTTTGATAATAAAACATTAACTTAAATAAATATAATGTACTTTGAAAATTTTTGACATATTTTTGACATAATTTAATATATTGAATTCAATAATTTCAATTGCAAAGTAACCCCTCTACTTTATTCATGCATACAATCAGTGTCCAAAAAAGTTCAAATA